ATTTTATCCCATTTTTATCCCAATTTTTCCCCAATTTTTTCCCTCTTTTCCCCATTTTTATTCCAAATTTTCCCCATTTCTATCCCAATTTATCCCAAATTTTCCCCATTTTTATCCCAAATTTTCTCCAATTTTTCCCTATTTTTTTCCCATTTTTTCCCCAAATTTTCCCCATTTTTATCCCAATTTATCCCCAATTTTCCCCCATTTTTTCCCATTTTTATCCCAAATTTTCCCTATTTTTATCCCTCTTTTCCCCATTTTTATCCCAATTTTCCCCCAATTTTCCACATTTTTATCCCAAATTTTCTCCAATTTTTCCCCAATTTTCCCCATTTTTATCCCAATTTTCCCCCAATTTTTCTCCAATTTCCCCATTTTTATCCCAATTTTTTCCATTTTTATCCCAATTTTCCCCCAATTTTTTTCTAATTTTCCCCCAATTTTCCCCGAATTTTTTCCAAAAATTTTCCCCATTTTTATCCCAATTTATCCCCAATTTTCCCCATTTTTATCCCAAATTTTCCCCATTTTTTTCCCAATTTATCCCAAATTTTCCACATTTTTATCCCAAATTTTCTCCAATTTTCCCCCAATTTTCCCCATTTTTATCCCAAATTTTCCCCCAATTTTTCTCCAATTTCCCCATTTTTATCCCAATTTTTTCCATTTTTATCCCAATTTTTCCCCAATTTTTTTCTAATTTTCCCCCAATTTTTCCCGAATTTTGTCCAAAAATTTTCCCCATTTTTTCCCCATTTTTATCCCAAATTTCCCAAAATTTTCCCCATTTTTATCCCAAATTTCCCCCAATTTTCTCCCTCTTTTCCCCATTTTTATCCCAATTTTTCTGCAATTTTTGCCATTTTTCCCCCAATTTTCCCCGAATTTTTTCCAAAAATTTTCCCCAATTTTCCCCATTTTTATCCCAAATTTTCCCCATTTTTATCCCAAATTTTCCCCATTTTTATCCCATTTTTACCCCAATTTTCCACATTTTTATCCCAAATTTTCTCCAATTTCCCCATTTTTATTCCAAATTTTCCCCATTTTTATCCCAATTTTTCCCCAATTTTTTTCTAATTTTCCCGCAATTTTTCCCGAATTTTTTCCAACAATTTTCCCCATTTTTATTCCAAATTTTCCCCATTTTTATCCCAATTTATCCCCAATTTTCCCCATTTTTATCCCAAATTTTCTCCAATTTTTCCCCATTTTTTCCCCATTTTTATCCCAAATTTTCTCCAATTTTTCCCCAATTATCCCCCAATTTTTTCCCAATTTTCCCCATTTTTATCCCAATTTTTCCCCAATTTTTTTCTAATTTTCCCACAATTTTTCCCGAATTTTTTCCAAAAATTTTCCCCAATTTTTTCCCCTCTTTTCCCCATTTTTATCCCAATTTTCCCCCAATTTTCCCCATTTTTATCCCAAATTTTCTCCAATTTTTCCCCAATTTTATCCCAATTTTCCCCATTTTTACCCATTTTTTACCCTTTTTATCCCAATTTATCCCCAATTTTTATCCCAATTTTTTCCATTTTTTTTCCAATTTTTCCCCAATTTTTTTCTAATTTTCCCCCAATTTTTCCCGAATTTTTTCCAAAAATTTTCCCCAATTTTCCCCATTTTTATTCCAATTTTTCCCCAATTTTTCCCCATTTTTATCCCAAATTTTCCCCATTTTTATCCCAATTTTCCCCCAATTTTCCCCATTTTTATCCCAAATTTTCTCCAATTTTTCCCCAATTTTCCCCCTATTTTATCCCAATTTTCCCCTAATTTTTTCCAAAAATTTTTCCCAATTTTTCCCCATTTTTTCCCATTTTTATCCCAAATTTTCCCCATTTTTATCCCAATTTATCCCCATTTTTATTCCAAATTTCCCCCAATTTTCCCCATTTTTATTCCAAATTTTCCCCAATTTTTATCCCAATTTATCCCCAATTTTCCCCATTTTTATCCCATTTTTATCCCATTTTATCCCCAACTTTTCCCCATTTTTATCCCAATTTTCCCCCAATTTTTCCCCATTTTTATCCCCAATTTTTCCCCAATTTCCCCAAAATCCCCCCTCCAAAAATCCCATTTTTTCCCCCCCTTTCCCCCCATTTCTCCGCCATTTCTCCACCGATTTCCACCAAATTTTCACCGTTTCCCCCCTAATTTTCCCCTCTATCCCCCCCCCACCCTTCCTACCCTTTTTTACCCAAATTCCCCGGAATTTACCCCAAATTCCCCTCACCTCCCTACATCTGCCCCACGTGGTTGGCGCCGTCTCCGATGACTCCGTGCGCTCCGGCCATGGCCAAGGGCGGCGGCTCCGAAGGGATTTTTTCCTCTTCCCTCCTCTTCAAACACGCCGCCTTGGGGTTCAAATTCCTCTCTGCCAACCCAAAAAAACCCAAATTTGGGTAAAAAACCCAAAAACGGCGAAAACCCCGCGAAAAAATGACGAAATTCGGCCGAAAAAAGCAAAAAATTCGGCGAAAAAACGACGAAAATCGATGATTTTTTCTCAATTTCTCCGATTTTTTTTCCAATTTTTTCCCCCAAGTTTTTCCATTTTTTTACCAATTTTACTTCAATTTTCCCCAATTTTTCCCCCTTTTTATTCCAGTTTTTCCCCATTTTTATTCCAATTTTCCCCCAATTTTTCCCAATTTTTATTCCAATTTTCCCCCATTTTTTTCCCCAAATTTTCCCCAATTTTTATTCCAATTTTTCACCATTTCCCCCAAGTTTTCCCCAATTTTATTCCAATTTTTTCCCAATTTTTCCCCAATTTTCCTCGTTTTTTTCCCAATTTTCCTCAATTTTTCCCCAATTTCCCCCAATTTTTCTCTATTTTTATTCCAATTTTTCCCCAAATTTTCCCCCAATTTTTCTCTATTTTTATTCCAATTTTTCCCCAAATTTTCCCCAATTTTTCCAAATTTTTATTCCAATTTCTCCCCCATTTCCTCCAATTTTCCCCAATTTTATTCCAAATTTCCCCAAATTTTTCCAATTTTTTCCCAATATTTCCCCATTTTTATTCCAATTGCTTACCATTTTTTTTCCGAATTTTCCTCATTTTTTCCCCAATTTTTATTCCAATTTTTCCCCATTTTTTCCCCAAATTTTCCCCAATTTTTCCCAATTTTTATTCCAATTTTTCCCCATTTTTTCCCCAAACTTTTTCCCAATTTTTCCCCATTTTTCCCCAAATTTCCTCATTTTTTTTCCCAATTTTCCTCAATTTTTCCCCGATTTTTCTCTATTTTTATTCCAATTTCCCCCCAATTTCCCCCAATTTTTCTCTATTTTTATCCCAATTTTTCCCCCATTTTTCCCTCAATTTTATCCCAATTTCCCCCAAATTTTTCCAAATTTTATCCCATTTTTTCTCAAATTTTCCCTATTTTTATACCAAATTTTCCGCAATTTTCCCCCGATTTTGCCCAATTTTTATTCCAATTTTTTACCAATTTTTTTCCAAATTTTCCTAATTTTTTTTCAATTTCCCTGACTTTTCACCAATTTTTTCCCAAATTTTCTCCCATTTTTATCCCAATTTTTCCCCCATTTCCCCTCGGATTTTCCCCTTTTTTTTCACCATTTTCCCCCAAATTTTCTCCAAATTTTCCCCCAAATTTTTCCCCAATTTTCCCCCAATTTTCCCCCAAATTTTTTCCCAATTTCCCCCAAATTTTCCCCCAATTTTCCCCCAATTTTCCCCTAATTTCCCCCC